CCCGGCGGTAAAAGCTCACAGTAAACTATGCCCTTCCAATCCTACTATACACACAGCATCACGTTATTGCGTGTTAATCCGGGTTTTGCTACAGTCTGTGGAGCTGGTCGTAGGTAATCACCACACCATTGATCAATATTTTCAAAAATCATTTATGAGAAATAGTGTAGGTTATCTAGCACTAGGCTACACCTCAGCTAGCCTTAAATATTTTTGTTAAGCAAGTCAGAAGAAAAAGCGCTCCCGAAATGATCTATCCGCATGCGCTGGCAAAATGGTTAGTGATATGTAAATACAATGTAGCAGAAAAATATAGATCTTTACTCCATCTAAAAAAAGTTCGAGATAAGGCATATGGTGCCTATTTTGTATACATAAGCCACAATAAGGTATTTTGTGACGAGAAACTATTGAAAATTAAAAAGTGATTTATGAGCATTATTAGTAGGCATGGCATATTAATCCTTAAGAACAAAGGCTACTTCATTATCAAGACAATTTTATGAAGATAAACTTTGCTTTTTGTAGCATGTTATTTGGACGCATAGTTTAAGAGATAATGAAAAATTTAAATAATTTTATATTTGGCTCGACGCGCAAATGACGTATAAACCCTAGCCGCCCGATGAGAACCGAGAGAAACCACATCAGTGAGCGCGGTTAGGTCAATCTTTTTAGCTAAAATCTTTAAGCAAAAAAAAAATTGATAAATGATTAAAAAGTTCATATGTCGTAGCATATTTCGCGGAAACTATAAGTAATATCGCATTTCTATGTATAAGAGGTTGATAGCAAATTTTTCAAGGATTATTTCGTTCTTACAGACTTTTCATATATTTATTCTTTAAAACTGAAAAAAAAACCTCGCTTCATGAACGTCTTACTGATGAATACAGGTCCTAATCATTTGAAATAGTTAATGGAGTACTAGATTAACGTCGGCTACATTTTCAAAGCGGAATACTTATTACACGGCAGTGTGTCTTCCAAGTTTGGTGAACAAAAGGGCGACGTAACCGGCTGTGTAATTACACTAACCATTTTAAGTCTAATTTGTATCTCCTATAACTCATAAATTATTAAAACTATCACTTTGTATTTAGAAAACCTTACAAGAATCCCTTGAATACCCATATTTCATTAATAAACCTATCATAGTGCTTTGGTTCTTTCAGGAGATTTTACAATACTTATTCTTACCACCTAACCACTTAAATTGATAAGGTTTTACAGGCTTGTACCAAAATTACTATTGTATTTTTTTTTGTTTGTTTCTGGTTTTGGTTTGTTTCTGTTATTAACTCACTTTCAGATTTATACAGTAATACTAGCAAAAATAGCATGTAGTGTTCACCTTTAAATTATTTTACATACTCTGTGCAAGTAATATAGTAATTATACTTTAAGAAATGTGTGTAACGTATGTATTGTAAAATCGCTGGTAGACCCAATAAATAAATAAAATAAAAAATAACCTGCGATGATTAAATTAATTACTTAAAGGTATCAATTATTAATTTCAGTAAAAGTTGAAGTTACAGCTTATATACGTCCCACTGCTGGGCACAGGCCTCCTCTCGATTCTGAGAGCGAATGCGTGTTGGCGAACTTCACATGTCTTTGAAATATGTTTTTCTTATTTCTCAGACATGCAGGTTTATATAAATATATAGGGTATAAGGTATGTTTTCCTTCACCGCCGAGCATGTGGTAAATCAGCACTTAAAATTGCAATTAACAATTTAATTGGTGCCGAGCAACCTGGATGGAATCCCCCATCCAGGTTGCTCGAGTAGTGTGAAACTTACAGCGAGCGCTAACCATCTGAGCTACCACGGCTCAATTTCAGTAATGCTACTGGTATTCAAATTATAAGGATCTACGATATCCTCGTATTATAGCATTAATAGTCACCAGTGCCATAACAGGCTCATTTATAAATTTTTAAAAACGTTACCTCCACACTAGGATTTTCTCCTGTATCGTGGGAGCAGTTTACATACATAAATTTCACAAGGACAAACATCTAGACCCGGAACAATTATTGGTAGGCCATACAAATACTTGTTCCGTGCGGGAATCGGACCCGCGCCAATTTTATAAACATCTGTTTGCTATATGTGTTGAGATAGCCTTTTGTGCGTAGCATGAGATATGAGAAATTGACAACCACTGTTCAGCGGTTGCTTGTTACAGAACCAAGTATATTAGTTCACCAAAAATCTCTCTGTCCGTGATTGTTGATAATATTAAAAAACACTAAAGTTTTTCGATGAGTTAGGGTGGTTTGATCCCTGCCCACTCGCAAAATATACGCTTAGATATGGTTAGCTGAAACAAGCCCAGATCAAAATAACCGATAAATATTTCTTTTCTTTTAACGATCCTTTCGAAAAAAACTTAACATTTAAAAGCTAAATATAAACCAAATAGTAATTCCATTTTAGTAAAATTTCTTTTAATTTCAATAATAAAAATACAAATTGAATTATATCATTTAATTATTTTTATATAGATAGGCATGACAAACAAGCACACAGTCCACTTGATGGTAAGTGGATGCTGTGGCCCATAGATATCTACATTTATCCTCAATTAAGAATGAAAATGCAGATGCGTTGTCACCCTTGAGGACTGAGATGGAACGTCTCGTGCTAGTAAAAAGGGTCTCCTGTTCTCTACAATCACATACGAAACACAGCAGCATTAAGTTGTTATTTTACACTGGTATTCTGTGAGAGCGGGGTCCTTCCCCGGTTGAGCTGACCCATTTGTGCTGCAACCACAATATAGCTGCAGCATAGCTCTACCACGTAAAAAATTACCTGTTAACGGAATGTAATTACGTTCATCATCATCATCATCATCATCATTACAGCCCTTCACAAGTCCACTGCTGAACATAGGCCTCCCCCAAAGAATGCCACAATGTGGCAATTACGTTCAGTTAATATGCTAATTAGTAAAAAACTTTGTCTACAAAACCTGTATATTAACAATTATTGTGAACTTTGTTGGTGGTCCTTTAAATAAATACAATTAAAAAAAAAACTTTAAATGGATAAAAAAACCTATTACTTTCTATTGTAGTATCAATCTGTTCTGATAGTGGTACCTAAAACAAAGGCATGATTACAACTCAACACTCCCTTTAAAAATGAATATCTTTCAAGAGAACGTTTTATTATTATTCCAACAGCTATATTATATTACTCAACGATAAACTGATTTTGCTTGGGATCATTCACTATTCAAAATAGAAATTGACCGACTTCTAAAACAAGATACAGGCAATTTAAAGAGAAAATTTAATTTAATCCGTATCAATTTATTTACTTATTAAAGTCTTGATTAGATTTTCATTGTTAGATTATAGACATTTAATCCATACTTGACTAGTATCAGAATTTAGTAATATGACCGAATAGGCATCGGAAAATCAAGAAATCTCACTAAAATAAATTCATTTAAACTTATATTATGGTCTTCGAGCAACAAATCACAGCAACATTATGAATCTAGTTTTGAGGAATTAAATTTTTCGAGGATGCGTTAAGTTTCCCATCACGCACTGTGGCACAGATTACGTAGCCATTAAGAAGGTTAGTTGTCACCTAGGACAGACTTCTAGCCAAAAAAGAAACGTGGCAATAAGTGGCAAAGTAAGTCGCGGGTGGCATTTACGATTCAATATGCATTATGATTTAAAAACTTTTAAATAGTATTAAAAAAATATAAAATTAAGTAAGATCACAGCCTATATACGTCCCAACCATAGAGCAATACGAGCACCGCAAAAGGACATCGTTTCATCCGTGCAGCTTTAGTTTAGTGAGCAGTGCAGCTGCAACTAGTTTTATTGCACCCGTAAATTTATACTTTGACAGAGGAAAAAGCCTGCATATGGCTACTCCCCTACGGTCCGAAACTTTGAATATACACAACTTTAAATTTTGAAACCTTTTTGGAGCAAGAATTTGTTTTGATTGATTTGGTTTCTTCACGATGTTTTTTTTTTCACAGTAGAAAACGTTACAAATTTTAAAAATGTAACCAACAGCTTTATTGGTGTTGGAGTGGATTGAACTCGGTACCTATTGTGAAATTTAAAGGCAAATATTTATGCCTTAAGCTATAAAAGCTCGTGATAAATATATATATATATATATATATATATATATATATATATATATATATATATATATATATATTATTCAGTCTAATAGACTATTTTATTGATCGAACAATATAATGAATTTTCAAAACTAATCCTGCGAAAGATTGAAAACTTGGGGATAGTTAATTCACTAATATTATCGTCTATGAAAGCGTTTAGTCTCTAAGGTATTATTTTACGAGAAATTGCAGTTTACCCTGACTCAACATAGGAAAGGTCAATGCCATTATAAGTACTACAATTGAGTGAAATATTTATTTATATTTTTTTTAAATGTAATGTTATGCTGATTTAAGAGACGATTTTTTTATAGTATAAGGGTCACTAACCAGCACACATTCTACCTGATGGTAACAAAATGCAACACCCATAGGATAAAAGTAGATATCTATATATCAACTTTTATCCTCGATAAGGAATCAGAATGTAGATGCGTTGCTATACCTGATACATTTGTTATCAGTATAAAGGGTCTCGAGTTCTCTCATGAAATACAACAACATGACTTACGCATGGTGAAATTTAAATTTTTTTTGTTTAAATTGATTTAGAGTATAAATAATATTGAATGTTTGTGATATGTTATAATTTATGTTAAGAAGCTGCGGAGTCAAGAAATAGTTCGGCCCTTGCATAGCTGTGATAAATTTGTAATGTGATATGCAATTAACAATTTGAATTTGCCTTTCATGCACGGGAATAGTTACACAAGTTATGTAAACAAATTCTTAGCGGTGTTTCTACGTATAACAATAAGTGTAGGATGTAATACTGTTTCTATAATAAATAATTTTCAGATAAATTGTAAACGTTTTATTAACAGGTTCTTCGCCAGACAACCTTGCCGATTGTTCCCACGCGCCATCAAACTTTCCAACGTCAGCTCTCCCACCGTCTGGATCTACCTTCGATTCAGTTCAGCATTTGCAGTTTGGAGCGCGCTGATTCCTCTATTGGCTTGATAAAGGTGAGAGCTAAGATAATATTTACCAGTCAATAAAATATTGATGCAATTACGCAAAATGAAGTGGATTTATGAGTTTATGACATTGATTTTTTTTGGGATATATAATATGCGAGTATACAATACAATACAAGTTAAATAATGAGGTCCACCAAGATTGTGTGCTCTTATACAAATGTGTATTAAAATAATTGTACTTGTAAGATATATGTTAATAGTAATTTAATTTTTAAATTCATTTATTTAATAATAGCTGGCACCCGGCTCTTTTCTGCCACAGAATGAAAAATTTTAGAAATATCGTTTTAAATTTGGAACATTTATATTGTTTAATTAGGATTAATTAGGAATGATAATATATTCATTGAAATCGAATGACAAATTATAATTTTCAAATAAATTTTTAGGCACGATACGCGCGCCACCTACTGTAAGCTAATTGCACTGTGCCTACCCTACCTAATAAGTTGACAGTTTTACCGCAATCTGAAGAACGCTATCGCAGCGCATAAAAAACGAACAAACACACATTCATTTTTATATATTTGATATAGAAATCGTATCCGGCTATAAACCTTTCAAAACTTTTTTTAGATTTGCAGTCCCAGGCGGCCTGTTGGGCTTAAAGTTGCAACTTTGTAAATAATTAAGCAATTTCTATATTAAAATCTATCTATCTATCTATCTGTAGCTAGTGGAAGGAAAAGGGGAGATCTCCCGGCTGGCAAGTGGCAAGGTGTTCTGCCCGGAGAGCGGCCAACGCTCCTAGCGGTAGTTCGGAGCTATTCTATATATACTGCTTTTACTTCTGAACTTTGATAGCGCGATTTAGGCTTCGATGTATTTCGCTTGTGTCACAACGACAGCGCTGCCAGATCCCCTCCTGCTTAGACCAGAGGTTGATAGTGCAGTCTAAATGTCGACGAATGTGCAAGTGCCATGGATTGCCTTGTAGTCTGCGGTGAGTAGAGAAGAAGGCGATCTGCGAGAGTACCGTGAAGCAGAGGCGAACAGTAAGGCTCAGAGCTGTGCCGAACACTGTAGCGTAAGAGTAGCTTGAAGGAATAGGAAGTATTATTATGCCAGTGCTGCAATGAAAATTTGTAAAGCTAGATGGCTTGCAGAATGTAAAGACTGCAGACAATATCTGCTCGGGAGCGAATTAATGGGGTACTTGAGGACGATGACGAAGGTTTGAAGTTGTAGGTTTCTAAAGGTTGTTGGTGGCGTGTTCATATAATGTTGGTTGGTCACCACTGTGGCCGGTGGGAGGAAGGAGAAGGGGAGATCTCCCGTCGGGCGAGGTGTTCTGCCCGGGGAGCGGCCAACGCTCCTAGCGGTAGATCGGAGCTATTCTATATATACTGCTTTTACTTCTGAACTTTGATAGCGCGATTCGGACTTCGATGTATTTCGCTTGTGGCACGATGACAGTGCCGCCAAATCCATCCATCTATCTATCTATCTATCTACGTAATCGGCAGCCATCACAGCCAAGCAATGGGCTACCACTATCGGAAAGCGTGCTTCCTTTCAGATTACTACTTTCAGACAATTTTCCTTCAAAAACGTCGGTTGCGTATAATTAGTACCAATTCCTACTATTAATTAATTTGACCTATTATATTCTTTCAACAAAAATATTATTATGAGTTTAAGATGTACATACGTTTTAATTTTAATTGTCAATATTCAATTTTATAAAAGGTAAGATAAGAATTTACAAGTTCTATAAAAATATCTTAGAAAAAGTTTGCCGACTGTTCTAAATTAAAATATATTTTTAATTTTCAATTTATATGAAAGAACCTACGAAGACCTGAAGGCAAAAGAAAAGACGGTTGGACTGTGTGAGGGATGAAATGCGTAAGAAAAGAGTGAGTGATGAGATGACGGCTGTTAGAAGAGGATAGTAATGAAATGATAACTCTTTATATTGCGGAACTAGGAAACTTTCTCTATTCTTATTTTATGACAATGCGTAAGGAGGCGTAAGGCTAGGAATTAAAATTTGATTGGTCAAATGTCAACATGATTTTTAACCTACTACCGTTTTAAAACGAGATTCCTCCCTCAGGTGAAGAAATGGCGAAAGAAACTCCGCAGTTATCGTCCTTTTTGTTTTTATTTTAATGATACTATATTGTATATCTATTATATAAAATACAATATGTGTACGTATGCACATAAAAATAAGGTATATACATATGTTTCATTTCAAATGAAATCAGAAAAAATGTAAACAACGCAATAAATTATATTTTTCAAATAATCGCTTAAATATATTATAATCCTCCTAACTGCTTCTTTGGTATAGAGGTTGTAAGCGCGACTGCTGATCATGAGCGAGGTCTCATTTTGGGGGTTTGAATCTCGGGTCGGGCCAAAAACTCAGTTATAGAGAGATTTTCCATCAAGAAATTCTCAGTACCTGCCCGGAGTCAGGAAATTGGTGGTGTCTGACCCCCGAGCCTCGGAAACCTCTTAAAGCTGTTGGTCCTGTGCCTGATATCTCTCCGTTCGTGTCAGTTTAACATCCCATTGGAATATGGGAGGGAGGGAATAGAGAGTGCACATGTGCACTAAATCCTGTTCTGCGCCCATGGCTAGTCTCCGTTGAGGCTGGCTGCCGTGACCGAAATTCGGGCTGGAGGACATTAGTATAATCCTGATACTTACATTTACTTATAGTCTATATTATTATCGTTAATTTTTTGCTCATTCTGATATAAATTGACGACATTTTATCATTTTTAACCTTCGAGTGGCCACCCCAGGCAGGCTTTTCATCATGGATCGGATGTAGGTTCCTCTTAGCTCAAAGTGGGTGCCATCATCATGGTGCATCAAGCCACGGCTTTTAAGTCGACACGACAATTTGGGAACCCGTTTAACCACAAAAAAAAACCACAAATAAACGGTCAACTACTGTTCATGAATGTCTTCATAGGCATATGTGGCAATCACCACGCTTAGTGAATTGGTTTTTAACGGTATGTGAACGTCTCAATTTCTATGTGTCAGGACTATGACCAATAGTTAACTGCTCATAATGGCCAAATAGATGTAAAACGAGTAATAGGCAATATTTATTTCCACACAAGTGCAACAAGGGTTCTTTTTGTTAATTATTTACTAAATTTTATTGTTATTTGGGGTATTTATATAGTATTCTCATTTGGTTGGGCTGAGTAAATATATATAAGGAAATATCAAATAAACATAAATACCTATATATATATATCTAATATACTAACATAAATAAATAATACATAAATAAATGAAAACCCAACCAGATGGAAACCCTCGGCATGGGAGACCAAACGGCCGAGGGTTAGGGGGAAAGGGAAAAAACCGGCGTACGATGCGGGCGGTGTCGAGGATCACCGCCTTCTGCATTTGAGCTTGGAGCAGTCCGTCACGGAGCCCCAGTCGCCTCAGATGACCCGAGAGGCTGACTGGAATTGACCCATTCGCAGAAACGACTACAGGTATAATTTCGGTCGGCAGTCCACCCCACATGTCAGTTACCTCGTGAGCCAGGTCCAGATATTTTGTTCGCTTATCTGTTTCGGCTTTCACGAGGTTCTTGTAATACGGAATGGTAATGTCGACCAAAAATATCCTTGACTGTGCCCGGTCCATAAGCACAATATTAGGCTTATTCGCAAGAATAGTCCTGTCTGTGATGATGACCCGGTCCCAGTAGATCCTGGCGCGGTCATTTTCGAGCACGGCTTCCGGCAAGTACTTGTAATATGGCAATTTCCGGTCCACGAGTCCATTTTTCAGAGTGTAGAATTTCTTCCTGGTGTAGAATTCTGGCTACTAAGTTGTACCTGTGTAAGTACTCAGAGTTACAAAGCGCCAAATAACCGAAGATAACATGCCTAAGGGACTCACCGGAATGGCGACAAGCTCGACAGATAACGACGGTGCCATCCCTTAGGATGTATGTCCGATAGTTGTTGGTCTTAATAACCTGATCATGTATCGCACAGATAAAACCCTCGGTTTTCCCAAAGAGGTCACCAAAACGTAGCCAGTGAAGGGAGGCAACTGTGTCTACGAAAGGCTCATGTAAATCCTTGTAAAACCTCCCGTGTAGCTTCTTCTCCTTCCATACGGTTTCCCGGTCGGAAATGCTCTGTACTGCCGGGTTCTGCCATTGCTCGTTGGCTAAGGATAGAGGGGTAAGTCCTTTATCACAAGAAATGACGTCCCTATAGAACGGATCATCCGGTCTCGTCAGAAAGTAATTACGGAGGCTGCACACTTCGCGATTATGCATGGTAAGCTTGCTTAAAAAGCCACGCCCACCATGTTTCCGCGGCAAGTACAGCCTCATAATCATCCTATGGGACTTCTAGTGGCACGTGCAGCTGTTGTTATTATAATTTTATACTTACCTCATGCGATATTTAAATCATAAATATTCATACCATTTTCTATTACTACATTTTCTAACAATACGTGTCTAAGGCAAACCAGATGAATTACATCAAGAAAACTTAATTAAGACCTTTTCGTGCCTTTAAAATTCAGTCTATCTACAAATATTATTTCGATGGTACTTTTCGATTCGAAGCCCGTATTTACAAAGGTACGAAACTCAGCTTCTTCGGTAATCATTAACTCTGTAGTTTTAATTATGTCTTAAATGAAGAGAGTTACTGACTCTGTAAACAAGATCAAAGTTAATTTATTACTTATTTCTAATAAAACTTTGATATTAATTCCCTAACATTTTGAAAACGATACTTCTATTTGCTCTTCTATCACTACCTTATGTTTCTGGCCTGAAATCCGGACGTTTTTTCACAAATGTTTATTCATTTGTGAAAAAACATATATTTGTTTAGTTACTGGGCTTGAATGTGTTGTGTTGCTTTTGTCACTGTTTTTCTGACACTGTATTTTAGATAAACGCATTAAATATTTATAGAAACTAATTGGTTATCATTAACATTCCTTTGTCATTTAAATTTGTGCTAATTTAACAC